TCCTTCTTAGTGAACCGGCTGCCTTCGTATTGTCTGGCAGGCGTCTTACCCTTCCACTTTCCTGGCACGGACGTCGAACCCCGGTTTGTATGGTCTCGTGCCTCCCCTGTTTGTTGCATCTCGTCCAGTCTCGTAGCATGAAGACCAAATGTGTTGGTGTCTTTGTGTTGGATCCCCTGTGCGTACATGGCACGAGTGATACGAGCAGCGGTTCCTGCTTTACAACGCTGGTAGAACTCGTGATCGTTGGGTTTCACATCGAGCTGATTATACAGCCGTTCGAGTTTGACGTAATATTCTTGGAACGAACGGTTGCCTTGACGACAGGTGTCGTATCGATGACGGCGTCTTTCTTTTTCTCCAAAGAAGATCCAACGTGCCTTCAAGAAGTCAAAGAATGAGTCGAGGGTGAAATCGTCCCACGTTCTACCATCCTTAGTCGTATTTGTCGTAAGCTGGGTTTGGTAGTTAGCCCAGTCCTGGGCTGGAAGACCCTCCAGTTTGGCTGCAATAGCGAGTACGAGGTCCTTGTGGGAGATCATCCCGGATGCATGAAGGCGGGTACGTTCAGCAAGATCCTGGGCTTGAACTATCCAGTCTTCTAGACGTATACCTGTCTTGTTGCCCTTGAACTTGGCGAGTTGAGGCGCAGGAAGGAGGCTGGTTATGGCGAGGGTGTTAATGGACTGAATGACCTCTTCGATTGGCCTTCCGGTTGTCGTAGGGGGATTTGTTGGGATCCCTCCAGGCAGAGTGGTGTCCGTCATTTTTATATCGCCCTTGGCGTTGGTGGGCATTGGTTTGTTAGTCAGGGCAGCAAGGAGTTCCGTAAGGTACTGGTTTGTTGTTCCTGGCTGTTGTACTAGGGCTTCAGTGAGCTTTTGGACAGCCGCAGCCGTGTTCCTGGCAACATTTAAGGCCTCTGCGTTGCTAAGCGCCATCTGATTCACACGTGCTTCTAAGTCGTCGACTATAGGCGGCCCTCCTTTGGCTGTGCCGGACCCCATGTTTGGTGGCACTGGGAGCGGTCCCTCCGGGGGTACGACAAAACCTTCTTGAGAGTCAGCCATGATCGGTAAGTCGGCAAGGTAGCGTAGGGTAGGTTTGTTGGACAGTTATCTCCAAGCTACCAACTGTTTGGTTGGTAACCCGCACGTGATAGATGGATAGGTGAGGAAAGGGTTCGACTTGCAGTAGCGCAGTCAAAGGTAGGATCGGACTTA